CACTGATGGAAATATACGACCAGAGATATGCATGATTATGGAAAGGGGACTGGGGGGATACCATAGATATATAATGATTGTATAAAGAGGGACATTGCAGTATATTGCTTATGGACAGAAGATATATATATATATATATCATTTACTTATATATCTGCTAGAGTTTCAGCAAGGGAGAAATTTTGTCACAGTGTAGGTGCAAAGACAGTGTTACAGTGTTACACCTCACTTTACAAATTCAAACTACATTCACATGTTAGGATTTCCACATGTGGATTTCCCAGAAGTAACTGCATCAGCATAGAGCTTGCAGAATGGAATTGTGTATTTAAGATAAGCATGTCTTAGGTCCTTTTGGAAGCAAATATCCAGTTATTTTTCCCTAAGGAAAACAATTGGGAAATTAATTTGACCAGTTAATTGAATATTGCAGTTTCTACCTTCTTCACCATTACAATGTGAATACAATGCATTTCCAATCTGCAATGCCACATCTATATTTTTCAATTCACTTTTCCATTAGTTCTGATTACTCCATGTGAAAGTACTTGTAATAATAATCAATGAACCACAAAATAAACAACCTATTTTATAGTATCAAATATAACAAACTTCTATTAACAGTTTAGTCATATACCTGGCAGTGCACCTCTAACAACAATAATCCAATCTAATCTGACCTTATAGTTGCACCATGAGCCCTATAGAACATTAGCAAAATTTCATGTTCAACAAACTGTAAATCAAACAACAAAGGGAAGAACAAAAAGACACATGAATATGCCAAATGTCTTTGCCCTATGAAACAATGACACCTGTTTTTCTCATTCCTCTACATTTTCTAAGAATTTTAACCCAATACCGCCAGGAATGCTTCTTCACTAATGAATCAGTGAGTTGATCACTAGTCTGACCTATCTCACCTTTTTAACATTTTCCATATTTTTTTTGGAAATATTCTATTTATTTCGTATTGCTATTATTATTACTCATGTAGTAAAAATCATAATGTAAATAATAATAAGAAGAGCATGATTAATATTAGTAGCATAAAAAAAAATTAAGGAAAATCAGGTGAGGGTATATAGAATACTAATTAACTCCTTGATGGCTGAGCACTTGTAAAGCCACTTATGTGCAGATATATTTCACATAACAACATTACAGTGAACATCACATTTTTCTGTTGGCAGTGGGTTTAAACTTAGATATCCAGTACAGATATTATTTGTAGCATGTAGCTTACAGCAGTATTACTCAATAAATGCATGACAAATAATACAGACATTTTAAGGTTTATTAGCATGGGTGGTGGTGATAAGGAAACAGGGGCAAAAATACTGGTGCTGAGGAAGAAGGGAGCAGCCTTGGAACACCTTTAGTTTATTTGTTTCAATCTCTGTAATGTTGCTCAGATATCTGACTACTTTTGTGCCTTATTATTTCTTGAATTTTTGCTAAAGCATTTATTAACAGTTGCATATAAATACATTTATGTTTGGTTTCATGGATAATAATGCTCATGTATGTAGCTACTTGCCTTGCCTTTGATAAAAAACTTGCAGGCCCTGTTTAAGACCCTCAACTTACATGACTAGAAATATAGAAATATATTTCAGCAAAAATGACTTTTTTTCTAATATCTTTAAGATGATATCTATATTTCTTTTTACCCAATACTTTGTTGGCTAAATAATGTATGTATATATTTCTTTCCTTTTTCTTCTCTTCTCTTCTCTTCTCTCTCTCTCTCTCTCTCTCTCTCTCTCTCTCTCTCTCTCTCTCTCTCTCTCTCTCTCTCTATATATATATATATATATATATATATATATATATATAAAGTGAAAACAGGATTATCCACAAAATATCACCTTATGACCAGTGCCTGTTGATAAACTATACTGCAGCATTGGGAGATCATCAAAGAGTCTTAGCACTACTCTTGTCATTCCCAGCTGAGAACTGAGGATCTTGAATGATTCCCTGAAAGACAGAAAATGGATGTTTCAAATATCCTTTACTAAGGGAAACTCCTCTTGAATTTAATTCCTTACAAGATTTACCCATTTGTGACGGGTAAAAATGAACAAAAAATGGGGAAAATGCTGTGCTCATTTTTCATATTTTTTTGTGAAATGTCTCTAAACTAGATGGCTCTGCCTTACCTGATTTCACCTTTACTTGAATTGGCAGGAAAATGTATTTTTACTAGCGCTATGAATATCGATGTTTATTTTTATTATAAACATTATAATTACTATAATGTAATAAACATTAGTGACAGCAAAATAATATAACGTAAAATATTTTCGTAAATTAAAGAAAATAATGCATCTGGGCTTGTGTAATATAAAATAACATAAGATACCCTCTTAGGCTTTACCCAATGACACTGCAAAATAATCAGAGCACTTTTACACTGTGCTAGGGCTAACATCAAGGTTGCCCACAAATTTTCTCCACCTTGTCCTTGAGTCTAGACAAACAAATTATTGTTTTTTATTAATATAAATGAAAAATGAAGATATAGGCCAATGAAGGTTTTATCCCCTAATGGAAGCCTCCAACTAGATGACAGGCACTGTCAGACCCACAAAATTCCAAATCTACATGGCACACAGAACTGAGAGCAGCCTCCATGTCATAAAATGGATAGGGGCCATTGGGAATTTGGGCTCACTTGGTGTGATTGGGTTGATATACCTAAAGAGGGTATTTATATTTTGATTCATCCTGGAGAAATACATAAAAAGCGAAGGCCTAAATGTGATTAAAAGAGAATGCAAATGTTTATATCATTACCACACATTTAAAATTCCTTGTCAAAGAACTTTTTAAAATACTGTTAATGCTTTCAAAACCTACCCAACCCTTTCTGATGCAAGAGGACTGATAAGCAGAAGGCCATACTGGAGAGTCCGCATGGTCTTCTCTCTGCCCCGATAACTTTCCAGCACCTTCACAAAGCTTTGTAGCGGCATTGTTGATACAACCAATTAGGATGACACAAATCTTGGAAAGAAAGAAAAAAATAAATTCATGTATCTGTAGTAATATCAGCTAGTAAAATATACTGACACACCAAAGGATTGAAACCAATTCTAGCTAGCAATAGTTCCTCTCTGAAATTATAATGCATTACTGTAATACTACCTGGTGAATGTTTTTCAACTGTGTAGCAAGACATTACTGTGTTGCCACTGTAAAGAATAAACTCTATACTATCTATACTATATATATATATATATATATATATATATATATATATATATATATATATATATATATATATATATATATCTATACTAATACTGATAATAATAATAAAAAAGGGTTATTGTCCACAATGGGAACTTATCAAATAGTTGATTTGGCAAAAGCCACCAAACTTTCACCACTTATACTTTGGCATGGCAGAGCTTGGACTAGTTATTATTTTATAGTAAATCCTTAGCGGGTGTACAAAAGCTCTTATTCTGCTAAAATAGCCCAACAGTTAGAGGAGGTTTCTTGGCATTTGCAGTGGCATGGCTTGAGTCTGTAGACACGTAATATCTGACTGTGGCATCACCTTTAACTTGTTCAGATTATTTCATATAACAGCACCATTTTTATTCCTTTTTAAGACAATATATATTGTTTTTTTTTTTCTGTACAGGGCAAAACAACAAATTAGCATTGCACTATTCCATCTTTAATGTATATAAATCTCAGTATATCTGACTTCGGTTTCTGAATTAATTTCCAACAAATGCTCACAGGGAATATCTGTAAAACCTTGCCATCATTACTCATGTACGAGTAGACAGGTAAAGTCTATGGAGCTACTTAGATCCTAGTTGCACACTCCTTTTAGTGGGTCATGTAGTATGGTTGGTTTAGTACTGGCCCATACCCAGAATAACCCTGGTTCGAGGCCCGGTCAGGGAGATTGTTATATATACATTATACATATATACATACATACATACATATATATATATATATATATATATATATATATATATATATATATATATATATATATATATATATATATACACACACACACACACACACATCTGTATGTATATATACATACATATATGTATGTATGTATGTATGTGTATATATATATATATATATATATATATATATATATATATATATATATATATATATATATATATATATATATATATATATATTCATTAATATGTGTGTGTGTGTGTGTGTGAGTGGGAATGGGAATGGGAATGAGAGTGGGAGTGGGAGTGGGAGTGAGAGTAAGAGTAAGAATAGGTGTGGGTGTAGGTGTGGGTGTGGGTGTGTGTCGGGGTGAGGTTGAGGTTGAGGTTGAGGGTGAGGATGACTATGAGTATGAATATGAGTGTGAGTGTGAATATGAGTGTGAGTGTGAATATTAGTGTGAGAGTGAATATGAGTGTGTGTGGGTGAGTGTGCGCATTTGCATATAGATACATACCTACCTGCATGCGTGTATATACCTGTGTATGTGTGTATGTCTTCCTGTGTATGATAGTGTGGCATGGTTAAGAGTCGTGAGATCAGGTATTGTATGGTGTTTAAGTGTGCCTGTTTTCCCTCTTGTCTGTCTTCAAACAATGACATTTGGATAAATATTATTAATCAATCTTCAGGCACACACATGAACTATATAAATCATGAACACTCTTTGTGTGACATAACAGTTTTACAGTCATACAGAAATAAAACGAATAAAATACTGAACCTATTCAAGAAATTACCACGAAACGTTATCGTTAACGATATAAGGATTAAAGATATAGGGATTTTATGCTACACATACACACGTGACAAGCTCTTCTTCAAGATGTACACTCTAGGAACTGAGAGGTAACTACCGTACCTTATTAATCAATTACAGCTTATCACAAGGTCTCAGATTCAACTTGCTGCAGATAAGGCGTCTCCCCGGGGAACCATCTCGCCGATCAGCTGATTATTTCCTAAAAGAATTCATAATCAGCTGATTGACGATTCGCCTACCATTTTTCACATAAACGATAATATAAAAGTTTTAACTAACTTAAATTGGCGAGAAAATAATATATTGTAGAGAATCCAATTTATTGCTGATTTGTTTAATCATTTTTTTTTTCTATTTTGGTAAAGTCAAAGATGGTAAAGGAATAACCTAACATTTTACAGCACTTTAGTTGCATAGTATATATATATTTGCTTCGCTATTTTGGAAGAAGGCTGTACTAACTACTTTATAAGATGCAGAGAAAACGCTGACATAGCTTAACAAAATAAATGTAAAGAAATATATCTGTGCGTTCCAATGCGATGGCAATGAAAGCTATAGTACGATAACAAGCTCTGTCTACGATAACTAACTACTATGAACAAAACAAAACAAAAAAACTTTTACTATATATCTTCTTTGACTTGGAGAATATGAATAGGATATACATTTCTCTATAAAACACACAAAAAAATAGACATTTACCCTTGTCAAACCACAGTTGATTTCCGTCCAAGTGTGCGACCATTTCTGAGCGAGGGATTCGACGCCGTTTTTGGTTATGAAAAGCCCTTAAAAATAATCATTTCACGATGAATCAGTATATGTTGTTGCTACGTGTCAGCTACCTCTAGTACAGCGAGATTTAGGTGAGTTAGAGGAGAAGGATGTGAGTTTATATTTAATTCTTATAATGTGAGAAGTAAAGGAGTGAATAACCGCCAGCCTGGTTTGGTTAGCAGAGCCCAGGCCAAGACCGTTTGCTTGGGGTGCTGTCACGGAAGGAGCTGAAGGCACTGGAATTGATATAAAGTGACAGATTTATTGTCCAGTGTTTGGAGCATATATTGTACTTTTGGTGACATGTAATACTACTTTGAAATATGTATCATTAACTGTTCTAGCCTATTTATGTTGATTCTGTTAATGTTATGGCATTGGCTTTACAATTTCAAGGTCCTGCATGTGCAGTTGCAAACATGCCCCTACAACCACTTAGATACAGGACTGACTGACTTTAGTTTTGTGACAACTCTAGATAACTATTTTTTAGTATTTGTCCCAAAACCAGGTATCATGCAAACCCAAAACCCAAACCTAACCTTTCTTACCTTCTATTTATATCCTAGACAGGGGGAGCAATCCCCCCCCCCTTATTAGCACTTTGTGAAAATGCAACATTAAGAACTAGCAATGTGAGGATGTTGTGGTGATATGCAGTGGATATTTATGTCATTTTGCAGTAAATAAGAGGCCAGAGCAGCTGTACCTGTGTTGTTAATTACTAATACTTCCTATGCTTTATTAGACGGGAGTATCCAGTTCCCTCTATTTCTGTGTTAGTAACATTAATTTATTTCTTAATTGGTAAATTTTGATTATGATAATGAATGTTCATTTATTGTAATTGTGATTGTCATTTATAAATGTCAATTATAAGGATGTAAAATTAATGAAGACCAACTTATTGTTTTCAAGGGGGTAGGTGGTTCAACCCCCAATAACCCTTTAGTTTTTGTATGAGGCATAGTGTCAGGTAGTGACACTCTGCAGTTCTCCAGCAAAGACCACAAAACCCCCATAGTATAATGGAAGTTGCCGTGCCTGGGGTGTCCTTCAGTCACTGCACGAGGGGAGCATTGAGAGGAACTCAGCTCCTCAACATCTGGCAAACATTCCAGGAGTATGCATGGCAAGAGGGAGCTGAAACTCAGGAGCACCAAGTGGACATTCTTTTTCTTTTCCCTTTATTTGTTGCTTTACTGTGTTTGTCTGCAGATTATTTCTTGTACCAATGACCCCAACTTGAAGCCCTCTCAATATCATCTTTAGTTTACATCCATACTTTAAAGATTAACCCAGTATACATTCTTACAAGATTGAAGTTAGATGGGTTCCTTGTTTGACAGTAAATTGCCAGGGAGGTTGACAAGTTCTCTCTTGACAGAAAGTGCATGTTGGAGGTCTGTTGGCTTTTGGCACAGCCCCAACAAGCATTTAGACTCGAGTAAATATTTAAAGAAGCTCCAAACAAGTTACCATATACACTATTACTAAAGTTGGTTGCCACAGACTTTTTGTATATCTGGGCAGTATATTGTCATTATAGATGTCAGCTTCAATAATTCATATCATAGGCAGTTCTTCAGCAATATGGTGACTTTGTTATTACAGCTATCTAGTGAGTTACCAAAGAAAAAAAATATTTTCCAGTAGGAAAATTATTACTATTCAACTAAATTTATCTAACCTTCTCGTAGCCAGTGCTCTCTTGTTGTCCTCAAATGATATATGGAAGATCATGATACAATACTGAAAAAATGCAGACTAAATTTAACTACCACAGTCCAGAATCATGTTTAATGCTTTAACTTTATTTTGGTAATTCCAGGATTATTTATTCTTTTCAATTAGCATTTTAACATTCAAGGCTAGTGAATGAGTAAAACTTTGTTGACTGAGAAATATATTCTGCCAAAATTATATAGAGGTTAAATTACTTTTTATATACCATTTTTGGGTAAGGTTTATTGATTTTTTTTCTCTGTACCAAGATAATATCAGCTTGTCTGTATCATTTGGAAAGTTTTGGCTTCAGTAATTCTGTAATATCAATTAATCAACACAGTGGATGCATTCACAGAGAAGTATATTTCTAGGGTACTATACATGGTTCCACTAATGCTGTGTATATAGACTATTGGGTGTTGGGAACCAGAATTAGCCACAAGTAATATTGTTACTTCCCTTCCCTTCCTTTCCCCTCCCTTCCCTTCCTTTCCCTGCTCTATAAATTCTCCTACACCCTCCCTTTTCTTCTCTATAAATTCTCCTAAATTCTCCATTCCATCCCCATTTATTCCATCTCTTCCCTCCTTCCTATTGCTGTTCTCCACTTCCCTTCCTTTTATGATTGCTCAACTATTTTATCTTATCATGAACCCTAATTCTCATAAACATCATAATTCTCATCTACTCTATATTTCTCTTGCCACTTCCCATAACACATACGGCATCCATTGTTATTATTAATCTCTATTCCATACGTGGCCCCTGTATGCAAAATCACGTCCGTTCAAACCCCGTCGTGTTTTGTGTTATGAAATATTACGAAACGAAGTGTAATGATACTATTCGCGGACATGACGAAACCTCAGTCCCCCGTGGGCACCTCTACCAGGCGTGTTATCGGCGCTGTTCATTACTCTGCCAGGCTCCCGTAGTATTTAAAGTACGAAATTAGCGACAACTTTAATCCAGCAACCAAGTTCTCAACTTTTAACCCACTCTTGCCCCTTACCTCTCCTATTTCCCCTCTCTCCTTTTATCTTCTCTTCTTTATTTTTTCTCTTCTCTTTTCTCTTATTATATTCTTATCTCTCCTCTGAGCTCTTCTCCATGAGAGAGAGACAGCGCGCGCCAAGACAAAACTTCGTAAAAGTAAGTGTGGCCCTTGAAATGGCCAGTCATCATTCGAAAGCCAAGCTGAGAGTTCAAATGCAAAGCAATTTTTGGTGCGTTAAATGATGGTATCACATCTAGGCGAATATTCCGAAAAGTTTAGCCACATCCTGGGTCCTGGAAATCGTGAATCCACAATGGGCATCTTGCTTGAGGAAGCTGTTGCAGGGCTTTCATCCGCGGTCCGATCATGCAAACCGAGCTGAGGAGACAGAGCACTAAGGAGCATCCAGTTGTTAGCAGTCTGTCATGGGGATTTGGTTTTGGTATAATGGGCGGGTCATCGCAGCTGACCCGAGGCCCAAAGAGGGCGTTGAGCAGATATGGTCTCGGGTCCCTTTCACGGTTGTGGTTGAGTGGCAGAACAAAGGTGACAGCAGTGGTTCCTTAAATGACTCGACGTTTTAGCTGCTTTGTGGTCACGTTTGCTACTCAGGATGCACAGTCACTCAGTTCCGTTTGTAACTCTTCTTATGGCAACGCATTTAAAAGACAAATAAATTAGCTAAATTCCCACAAATAAGATCCCCGTAAGTATATTATTATGTCGTGATTATCTTCTATCTGAAAATACATTCTCAAATCAAAATTACACAATGACAGCGGTCATACCCGAGAATAGTGTCTTTCCTATTTCGGAGTTTTCCTAAACTCGCGGTCTTGCCAAGCCGCGATTCCGGCATGGTAGAGTTTTCCCGATGAGCTCGTGCCCTCTGAAGTTCATATGGTAATGGCAGGCCTTTCATAACCTCTCCTCGAAGATTTCCCTTCGTTGCATCCGGTTATTCAATCTGTATCGTTAGAGATCAAGTAAGCATGACGCGTTGTGATGCATTTTTTTATTAGATATTTTTTCCGGATTTTTTTTTCCACGAAGCTGAATTCTGAAGTCTTTGGCTCGACACTGGCATTTCAGAGCTGTACGAAATAGCTGTTTAGATTTAAGGTCTGACAATTGTCTCTATACTGTATATTCATGTACAGTTTGCACCCGCACGCATCCACCCATGTGTATGTATGTATACATACATACATACATAAATATAAACACACATATATATATGCATATATATATATATATATTTATGTGTGTATATATATATATATATATATATATATATATATATATATATATATATATATATATATGTATATATATGGATATATATGCATATATATATATATATATATATATATATATATATATATATATATATATATATATATATACATATATATGTATATATATGGATATATATGCATATATATATATATATACATATATATATGTATATGTATACATATATATGTATATATACATGTATATATGCATATATACATACATATATATATATATATATATATATATATATATATATATATATATATATATATATATATGCATATATTTAATCATATATATGTGTATGTGTATATATATACTTATATATATATATATACATATATTTAATCATATATGTGTATGTGTATATATATACTTATATATATTCATATATATATATATATATATATATATATATATATATA